TCTGTGCACTCTGTGCTTTAGGTTTCCCATCTCTAGGTCAAAATTAGCAGAAAATGCTTCCCGGTTGACCATATGGGAGGAAGAAAAATCCTGATCCTCCAAACACCATGGGGTGCCTGGAGAATGAAATGAAGCTTCTCAGGGAGCAGTGGGAAGCAGGATGTGCTGCCTTCTGGGGGTGCTGGTGACAGAGATAAGGAGGAGAATGGGGACACTGCTGATGGGTGGGCCCTGATTTCCATCTAGAGTTTCAGATAATGGGATGCCAGGCATGCAAGACTGGGGAAGAAGACCTAGCTCCCATCTGCCTGTGTGGCAGGAACCAAGGAACCCAGCAGAGGGGTTCAGCACCCCCTCCAGCTGCGCTTGTCCCCAGCTGGGAGGAGACCCTCACTCACTGCTGCCCTCTCTGGTTTCTTACCCCAGTACCTGCTTCTACCCCCACCCTAGGCCTTCTGCTGTCCTGAAAGGGCCACCTCGGCCCATCTGCCCATTGACTGATCTTTGCAATGGGCCACACGTGGGAACATCTTTAATAATAATGATAATAGCAAGGATAACAACAAACAGCCCCCATTTGGTGAACACGTCCCATGTGTTGTGCCAGACACTTTTGCAATTCAATCTTCCTGTCAGTCCTGCAAGGCAGTCAGTGTGTACCCCACTTTATAGATGAGGAAGCTGAGACTTAGAAAGGCTAGGTAAGTTGTCCAAACCCACACCACTAGGAAGTGGTAGAATTGGATTCAAACCCAATTAGGTCTGATTTCTGAGCCCAGGACTTTTGCTCCAGGCGTCCTGTACAGAGCGGGGCTTGCTCTGTGTTTGCTGCACAAGCCTCTTGAAAGTTCAAGGTCATGGCTTCTGTGGGGGCTTCTCTGTCTTTAGTTCTGATAGTCAGGGTTGAGGATACCGTTTGGCCACTCAGGGATCAGGCCCCAGAATCCCACTGGACACCCAGGGAAGCTGACTATGTCCTTATTGAACCTGGACCAGGAGAGTCAGCTTCTGCTCCACAAGCTAAGTACAAGCTTTCACAGAGCTCAGCTCTAACTCTGCTGCAGGGCATGGAGGTCCCCGGGTCTCTGCCCCCTTCAAGGAGAATTTAGATGAGGGAGAGGTTTCTATTCTGATCTCTGATCTGGCCTCCCTTGCTCGTCCAACACTGGCTGCTGCCCAAATACAGGCAGCCTCAGCCCTGGGATGGAGCCACAATGTGGCAGGCTGAGGGATGGGAGATATGTGCTGTTAGACATCTGCTCCCCAGCAACCCCCTCCCTCCCCACCATGCATATGTGCACTTTCAGGCAGGAAGGGGCAGGGTGAGTAGCCTCTGGGAAAGAGGGAGCACCACCAGGGGCTCATGAGGGGGAGTACAGGTACATTTGTGCCTATGTGAGTGAGCATGCCCACTGGAGACTGGGAGCATGTTGTCTGTGACTGTGTGTAGGTGTGTACCCACAATGTGTGAGCTAGGCTGAGTGTGTACCAGTGGGAGAGTGTGAACATGTGAGTTTTTGAAAGAATGAGTGTGACTAAGCAGGTGTGCTAGTGTAACCATGTGGGTTATGGGTGCTTATGAGTGTAAGTGATTGTGCTTGGGTGTGAGAGCACAAACATGAGTATGAAAGGCAGTTGATGTCTGTGTATCTTAGAGGAAAAATCCACAAGATCCAGACCCAGTCTCTGCTGTGCTATTGCCCAGATCTGTGGCTTTGGATTTGTTACTTCTGTAAGTGTCCGTACCTGCAA